TTAATGGCAAAAGCTGACATGTAGGAGGATCCCTCCTTTCAATATAAACATTCTAACTTTATCTTTCACTGCAATTTACTTATTCTCTAACATCACTTGTGTGATATGGATTCAATCCTGCTCACATGCGCACTCTAAATTAGTCCAACACATCGCACTATATTTTATGGCTTTGTCACCTTCTAGATGTAGGCCAACACATCGCGATTTCAGGTGTCCCAATGAACATTCCGGATCGTGGTGTGCCATCTCCTCTCTTTTTGTCCTCCCCCAAAATTCTAATGGCTAAAACGACTTATTTATACTACTACATAATTAAAATCCTTACCATAAAATATCTTCTAAAAACTAGGAAACATAATAAACTAAAATAAATTAGGAAACATAATCCTAACCAAATATGGGAAATCTGCCCAGCCACAAATCAGCCACCTTTTTGGATCTTCAGGGCTCCAAGAATTAAAGCTTGAGATGTTCCGAACCTAATTGCAGAAGGCCTCAAACCCAAAAGACATCATCTTGGATGCCAAAAAGCCCAAATAAGCCCAAAACGTTAGTTTGACAGCACTGCGCGCTGCTCATTTATTTCATCACCAGAAAATAACCGCTTGGTGGAAATATATGAAACTTTGCTATGAACAAGTTGAAAGACACACGAATATCTTCCAATTTGAATCACTCTAAAATTTGCCCGCTTCATCATGTTTTGCTCCAGAGGAGCTTGAATTTCCTACATTAAGAATACAAATCAAAATATCAAAATTCTCACAAAATAAGCACTAAATTATAACTAAGAATAGGGTAAAATATATTGTATAATATCAACTCATCAAATACCCCCAAACTTAGTTTTTTGCTTGTCCTCAAGCAAAACAAAACTAGAAAACAAAAATAAAAACTAACAAACTAGAAACTTAATTAAAACAATTTTCACTTTAAGTTGCAAGCCCTAGAAAATGTTAAAAATCAAAACATTTTTAAAAAAACTCCAACTAATCCCACTACAGAGTCTAAGCCATTTAGAATCAACTAGAAAATAATTCATGAACTTTTGTTGGTGTAAAGTTAACCAACATAGTCCTTAAGATGTGGAAAATAAATAGAAAGAAAAAAAAAACTACTAAGTCCTAAAATAAAAATGTAAAACAACAAACAAAGATAACGAAAATAAACTAGGATACTTTTTTTTTTAGAACAAGTACGATATCCATTGAAGATTGAAATACGTAAAAATCGAGGATAGTGTGCTTACACTGGGCCCCAATAAAAACCTTGCCGAGGCTTTCAACCCAATCGAAGGGAAAAAGAGTGTCCCGCACCAAAATTAACTACTAGTACTATCCTAAAAAAGAGTGTCCCGCACCAAAATTAACTACTAGTACTATCCTCTAATAACAAATCAGAAATTACATCAGGAGGCTCTTCGAACCAAGAAACTGCGTGATCAACAGTTAAACTAAACCTCGCAAGGCGATGAGCCACCTTATTTGTCTCTCTTCGACCAAATGTGATTTTTCATTGCTTGAAATCTTGCAGGAGCCGCCTTGTATCATCGAACATATGCCCGTAATGACCACTATACGCTACACCTTCATTTTGAATTGCATAAATCACCAGAAATGCATACCCTTCCACCTGGACTTGTTCCGTGACCCATCTACACAAGAACATAGCTACTGCTCTTGCAGCAACTGCCTCTGCGTGTAATACCGATCTTACACCTTCCTCCCTACTCACTTGTGCCGCTAGAAACCCTCCCTCCGAGTTTCTCACTACCATCCCACAACCTCTAGTTGATCTCTTCTCATCCCATGCTGCATCAAAATTACATTTTATCCACCCAGAAGCCAGAGACTGCCATTTATATATTCTTGCCGAGGATTGTTGCGGTGCCACATCATTCCATTTTTTAAATTTAGCTAGCCACGTTTGTACTTTGATTTGGGTATCCAATGGAGAAACATCAACACCATTCCAAATAAAATCATTATGTACCTTCCAAAAACTCCAAACAAGGACAAGTAGCAGCTCAAAGCTCTCCTTAGACACATTATGCGCCATATATTCCTTCCATCCTCCAAATCCCTCCTCACTTCGGTGAAACGAACGGAGTCCCAATGGACTTCTAAACCACACTGTTGCCGATCTAGGGCACATTAATAAAGCATATTCTATTGTCTCTGCTTCTTTATCACAAAAACCACAAGTATCCTCTGTTATTCAAATTCACTTTGGAAGGCAATGCATTCATATACCCACGCCATACATAAATCTTCATTTTCCTCGGAACTTGAGCTTGCCACAATGCTTTCCATAGGAGCTTTGTATCGACATTAATCACCAATCCCATAGGCTTATCACCACCCATTCCCTGACACGATCTCGCCACAAAGCACGCACTCTTAGTTGTAAACAAACCCTTAGGTTCTTTTTCCCAAATCATAGAATCAGTGGGGTAGAATAAACTCAAGGGTATGCTCAAAATCAAATTAGCTTCCTCCTCAAAGAACTAGCTACGAACTAAAGTGGAATTCCAACGGACCCCATCCTCCTCCATCATCAATGATCTCACCGTAAGCTCTGGGTGCACCCTCATCGGCTTGAGGCTAAGAACTTTATAGCAATGCTTTCATGGCAGCCAGTTACCCCCCCTAAATATGAATTCGTAGACCATCCCCCACCTTCCATCTCGCACCTCGACAAATAATTGTCCGAGATGCCACCACATTGCGTACATAAACCCTCAGACCTTCCCGAACTTGGAACTGTAAACACAAAATCAAATTTCAACTGTGATTTTAACCTCTCCATACGCTCATTCGAGCTTTTTGTTTCACACAGAAAAATCACCATAGGATTTTTAAAGAGAATAAGTTTCTTAAGCGCCCGAATTACCCAAAGGTTCCCAAGCCCCCGGCAATTCCAGTTAATACAACTCATTGGACTCGGCGGGTCTAATCTCTATCAACCTCCGCCATTGTGAAACTCATTGAAATAGAAGAAGCACGCTTCTTTGTGATCGAGAGTAACCCCTTCTCCTTTTTCTCACACTGTCCTATTTTTACGAACTTTGAGGGAGAAAACATCGGGTTTTTGGTTGCCTAGTTTTGTTCCTACGAGAAACCCTTCCTCCTGATCGATAACCCTATACAAAGCCGATGCTAAAGATAAACTGAGCTAAATTAAAAGGGTCAAAATCAATAGACCAGGGAGAGTCACCCTTTGCCATCACCTGATCTTCATTAACCCCACTTACCAAAGATAGAACTAAGGTCCCTTCACCACCCCCCTGCACCTCCTGCCTTCCTCCCTTATCTCCCACACTCGCTTCAATCTCAAACCCAAACAACCTTAATGGCTGCCTCATACCTGTCACTATATCTTCCCTCATATCCTTTATAAGGTCGAGTTGTTGTCTACCATGTTCCATCAGCATATAGGGTATCACTGCCATCTGATTTCCCCCGTTGTCCTGCTCAAATACTGCCTTATTCAAATCAGGTATTGAGAACATTCCTTGCCCCACTGTCCTCGTCTCTAATAGTTTGCCTCATTCCTCATCCAGTGGTTCATCCAGCTCCTCCGACGGTGAAGCCTTCCTTACCCAGCCACCCTTCTCATCTAAGCCAAATCGTCTCCCTATAGGACATCTATAGTCCTTATCCAGCATATTCGTTTAGAACCATCTACCATATGGTTTGGCCTTATCGGCCATTTGTTGTCCTTCATAGCACTCACATCGTTCTTCAACATGGTTCATCATTCCACATAGAAAGCAAGTGAGTGGTAATTTCTCATACCTAGCATCAATTTGCATCTACGTGCCTTCCAGTTGTATATTCACAAACCTTCTCGACGGTCTCTTCACGTCCAGTCGCACTCGTACTCGAAGAATACTACCAAATTGTTCCTCCATGTGACTTTGATCCGTTAGGATATATTCCCCAAACAAGTTGCCTAAAAACTTCCCCATAGGCCGAGTCAAGTAGCAGAGGGGTAATCCCTTGAACTGCACCCAAAATTCCTGAAAGTGCAGTGGGATCTGAGTTGGGTACGCCAAATTATTTGCCTCGCCAAGCACCAATAGATATTGCTTGTTATACAACCAAGGCCCTCCTCGAAGAATGGTGTTACATTCTTGCATGGAATTGAAACCAAATGCAAAACGATCATCCTCTAAATCTGTCACCACTACATTCACTTTAGGATGCCAAAGATTTCTCATGTCTTTTAAATCCTTCCTTGTTCACCGATTTGTGTGAGAGAACCCTTCCCATGAGAAAGACTCTCAAGGACTTCAACGTAGCGGTCTCCAACTGATCAACGATGATCAGTTTGTGTTCCTCCACCGTAATCGCAAAATGACCTGCAAACTTTGCCATTAGATCCTCCATGGCCATGAGACTGTTCATAATCAAACCCCAAGTTCGTGCGCCAACCAGAAAGCATCGTACGATACCTTTACGGATCCTTCCCCACACCATGAATTAAGCAGAAGCCCTTTGAAGCCCTATTAATGGCAGCCGAAAAAGCAATACGAAATCCTCCAATTTCTGTTCATCACCAACTGCTCTCCTAGGGTTCGAGAGGAAACCTAGAAAGCCTGCCTTGCCATGTGGCATAAATAAACTAGGATACTTAAAATAGGAAATAAAAATAGAAAACAATAAAATAATAATAATAATAACATAGAAAACAGAAAATAATATAAAACAATAAAATAATAATAATAATAATAACATAGAAAACAGAAAATAAAAGAAAACATAAGGAAACTGACATACTTGGGATTCAAAGTGGTGACTTGATACAAAGAAACAGAGGCGCTGGAAAAATATTGGCAAAAATAATGCACAAATGTGCGCTATTCTAGTCTCGAACTCCTGACTTAGAAGAACAATAAAAGGCACAGAGGCTTGCACGTGATGGAGCACTCGTTTGAAAGCCCTAGCAAGTTCAGCTATATAAAATGAATTATCAGCGTGGTCCTTCATTTCCCATAACAGTCACCCTAGTACTCTCTCTCCAGCTCACCTATTTCAGACATCCCGATTGGCCGACGCACAGAGGTAAAATGCATCGATCTCTTCTCTGCTCATTAATTTCTTATTTTCAGCACAAATGCAATAGGGAAATCCGAGTCTAATATATTTGCATGTCCGTGAGCTTGTGTTGCAGACCACGATATGCGACGATATGGCGAACAAGACAAGGAACGGTAGCAAGGTCAGACTTTAAATTCGCAACAAAAATGAGCTGTGGCAACCTCGATGTCCACAGATCTCAGAAATACAGGTATAAATCCTCAACCCAGCGTGCTATTTTTGATATGGATCTGTTAAATGTATTCCTTGGATCTAAATAATTTTTTCGACATACTCATGACTTGTATTTCCTATGCTTGCATGCCCCATTTAATGAATGTCTGTGCTTGAATCTGGATCTGAATATAGGAGTTGAACAATGTCCACATCTGTGCTGCTTGGATTCCCCACCTCCCAACTTGTATTGTAGTATTATTTTCTTTTCATATTGAAATGTAGAGCAAGTGAAGGGGGTCCAAGTAGCATATGTGTCTTCCAGCAACCCCACTGTAAGCATCCTGAACTCAGTTTCCCTTGTTTCCTCCGCACTTTTCTATTAATGTGGCATGCAATGATATGTGTTGCCTGCTGATGAATCTGTTGAAGTGAATGAATGCATAATTCAGTCAAATGTATGTTTTTAGTGGATATTAGGGATGAATCTGTTAACTACATTGCAAAAGATGAAATTGGTACAGAGGAAGAGAAGGAATTGGTAGAGAGAAACAAGAGAGATTGTATTGATTGATTAGAGAAAATGTATACAAATGAACTTAAGGAAATGATAGCTACACAATCCCTTATATAGCCATATAACCTAATTACAATAATACCCCTCTAACTATATTTATGTTATATCAGTTATTACTTCCCCCTCAAACTAAACTTGGCGTATCCAAGTGAAGTTTGAACTATCCAGGTATTTGAGACTCATCTGGAACTACGAGACTAAGATGTCTACAATACTTTAAGAACATTGGACTGGGCAATCCTTTTCTAAATACATTGGCAATTACTGTTATGAAGCTTATCATGGAAATCATGGAAATCTGCTGCTGAGTCAAACCATAGGTTAATCCTTTGCTCTCTGTTGCCCACACCATTTATATTTGTTTCCAATATGATTTGCTGACCTTCTATGTGACCCAAGAATTCAAAGTCCAGTTCATCACGCTGACTACTATTAGCCTTTAACATGAGATAAAAAAAAATTGTGATAACTCCTGCATTATTCCCTGGAATCTTCATCCTCATATGAAAGAACCCAGAACTATAGTTTAGGTACGATCCAAACCCATACCTTGATGTTGTTGGAGGAAGTGACAATGTGGCTCGGAGAGAGTCAACTGAAAAGCATTCTCTGTTGCCATCTGAAAGGCCATTAGTACCAGACTATTGCTTTACATATGAACAAGGCAAATCGAAAAGACCGATTGCGAGGTTATGGTGGGATGAGACAGTGCCCACTGTGCTTACTTTCCCAAGTTGTCACAACCAGGTAGTATTACATCTGGAGCAGGACCGAATTCTCATTGTACATGAATCTACAAGATTGCAAGGCTTTCTTGATTATTAATGAGCTTAGCAATACAATTACAACCAAATCTAGTCTTGGTCTGAACGTACCTAACAAGTTTTCAACTTTTAACTGAGAAGCCATAGTAACACATTCACTGTATATGCAAATTGTCCCTCCTAAATCTTGACAGAGACTAGCACCAAATCAACTAAGGAGAATGACACCTAGAAACCAAATCGACCAAGGAGAATGACACTCCAAGAAACTAAATCAACAAAGGAGAATGACACTCCAAGAAACCAAATCAACCAAAGGAGAGTGACACTCCAAGAAACTAAATCAACCAAGGAGAATGACACTTCAAGAAACTAAATTAACCAATCTTCCTAGATACTAACACCAAAATTAACCAAGAAACCAAATATAACCTTCACATGAAAAATCTTCACTGAGACATTAACACAACCAGTTGATATGCTAAATTGAGGAGTACTCGAAACAGCACCTAATGACCATTTCTGATACCATTTTCAAAGCTCGAACTCTGTCTCCACAGTTCCATAGTGCACTGAACATGGTGTTGTATGAACCCAAATCATAGAAAGTCCAATTCACAGAAATTGAACAAATTTCTCATATCAGAGAGCTCCTAATTCTCAAATCGTGGTAAACTTCTTAAACAACATTATAGATTTGCATATAGGTACCAAGAACAAAATCACCTGATTTACACCAGAGATCGAACGTTTGCATAAATTCCAAGCGCAAAATCTTCAAGAAAACCCAGCAATCGAATTGACCGGTAGTGTCGAAGAACAGCAAAGCCCATTGGACTCCGCCGCGTATGAACCAACGGATCATGGTTTTTTATCTACACCGCTAAGACCGAGTGACTTCGACGGCAAGGCTGTCGTCAACAAAGCTGCTACACGACTTCCCCAAGAACGATCAACCGAACAAGAACACTTAACCAGAACAATCATAGAAAACCCAAATTCTGAGGAAAAACCCAGATCCCAGCGAAGCAGCACCACCAACTTATGAGAATACACCTGCTTCCAGTGTATGAGAAACCGCAGGGGAAAGAAAATTTGATGTCGAGGATATAGGATTAGCAAATCCCAATGAACAAAAAACCCAGAAACAAAACAACCCAAAAATAGTAGAACGGTCGTGGAAGCACCCAAAAATTTATCGAAACATCTAATGAAAATTTGGAAAGAAACTAAAGCTAGAAACACAAGAAAAAAAAATGGGAACCACCAGAATCCATGGCGTGAGCCTGGTGGCTATGATACCATGTTAACTACATTGCAAAAGATGAAATTGGTACAGAGGAAGGGAAGGAATTGGTAGAGAGAAACAAGAGAGATTGTATTGATTGATTAGAGAAAATGTATACAAATAAACTTAAGGAAATGATAGCTACACAATCCCTTATATAGTCATATAACCTAATTACAATAATACCCCTCTAAACATATTTCTGTTATATCAGTTATTAAACACTATATGCAACCTGGAACCAACGTATAGTTAGTGGACCATGAACATGACATAATGGTGTTACGTTTCTTCCATACTCTCTAGAGTCATCATCTCAATCAAGTGATATTGATCTACGTGAGGTTGCCATTGATTATGTAGGTGAAGATCATCATTTTATCTAGGTATGAGATATGTTTCCTCTCTCTCTCTCTCTCTCTCTCTCTCTCTCTCTATATATATATATATATATATATATAGATATATACACGTTGTAAAAGTTGTGGGATTCGAATGCCCGCATGGTTTAAACAAAAGTGAAAAGTAAGGACTAAAAGTAGTAGTATTGTTAGATTTTGTTGTTGTTGTATGGAATGGTTTTCAACATGCATTAATTTCTTTTGTAGACTTCTTCATGTAAATGGCTCTATATAAAGAGTATGTAGTGTATGATCAAACAACACACAAGATCTAAACTTGTGTGAAATACTTTACCATGACCCATCTTTCCCTTTGCATCCTCCAAGGAAGAAAAAAGTTGGTGTACTCTTGTATCTTCTTTTATTATCAGTAATATATGTTCATATTGTTTTCTGTACAATAGCATGATAGCTTAGCTTATATCAAAATCCAAATCTTTTAGGAAACCAAGCTTCTCATCCTCATTTTTGTCTTTAATCTCTCCCAATCGCTCTCATCCATTTTCCTTTTCACCAAAAAACAACCCATATACTGTTAGAATTCCCTCCTCATGAAATTAAATGCCCATCTTTAATGCGCAGCTATCTAAGAAGCAAAATCCTTGGACAAAGAAAGGTCTTTCCAGTTTCAAGAACTGTGTAAATGTAAAGCAGCCCAATATTGATTGCTTTTTCTAACCCCTTCCATAGTTTTCTAGAAGGGAGTTGATTATGAATATTTATATGTTTTTAGCCTGTAGCTCTTCTACAGAGTGTGAGTAACAGAAAAATAATGAGTTCATCCAAGAGTGTGTGTGTGCTCTTGAGTTAGTCAGCGTCTAAAGTTGAGAGAGATTAGCGCCTGTAATCCTATTTTAATAGTAGAAGTATTTTGAACCTTGTCCTGTGGTTTTTCCCTTCACATCAGATGGTTTTTTTTCCACAAAATTCTAGTGTCATTTTGTTCACTTATAATTTCTGTTTATTTGTGTTTTACTTCCTGTGATTTACACCAACAGTTCCGCTGCAGCAAACTAGACAATTGGGATTAGAGCTGGGTTGCTTTGGAGATCATGGATGTCAACACAAGTCAAATGGTGAGCCTAAATGGAAGAAACTACATTATTTGGAAGTCAAAAATGGAGGGCTTACTGTATTGCAAAAGGATATGTTCGGTCCAATTGAAGGTGACAAGCCGGAAAAAATGTCCGATGAGGAATGGAAGAAACAAAACTAAAGTGCTTATTCTTAGTGAATCAAGCACTGGTTTACTGAACGAAGAAATGAGAAGAAACTTCTTCCTACACAGAAGCTTTGGTTGTAGAAAAGAGGGGGAGTAATAAAAATAGAAGTGCTTATCCTTAGTCTCATGGGAGGTCAAGAAACAAATCAAAGCCAAAAAATGACATCGTATGTCATCATTGTGGTCTAAAAGGTCATTACAGAAAAGAATGCAAAGAACTCAAGAAGGAGAAGAAAAATGAAGAAAAGCAAGAAGAGAAAGATACTGCTGCTATATCTTCATATGGTGATATTATTGTTCTCTCGAAGTGTGTAAAATCGTGCTTGAATGTCTTATGAAGATACCACTTGGACAATAGACTCCGAAGCCTCCTTTCATGCTACTTTGAATAAGGCATTATTTTCATCATATAAGGTTGTTGATTTTGGCTTAGTGAAGTTAGGAAATAAAGATACATTAAAAATTGCAGGGATTGGTGAAGTGATTCTAGAAACTGATCATAGCAACAAACTCATGCTCAAGGAGGTTAGATATATGCCAGACCTCCACCTAAATTTAATTTCTATCGGAAAGTTGGATGATGCTGGATACAAGAATAAGTTTTCGAATGGGGAGATGGAAGCTCAAAAAGGTATCCCTTGTAATTGCAAGAGGAAGAAAATGCTTCACTGTATACAGAACCCATGCTCAACTATGGAAAGGGGAGCTGAATGCAATGGAAAAGGATGCTTCAATCGATCTATGGCACAAGTAGCTGGGTTATATAAGCGAGAAGGGTTTGCAAATTCTTGCAGAGAGAGAAATCCTCCTTGAAATTAAAGGTACGCACATAAATAGTTGCATTCATTGTTTAATTAGCAATAGACATCATGAAAGAAAATCAAATATTTTAATGCATGGCATTAAAATACATTCATTGTTTAATTGATGAGTATTGTAAAATGCATGGCATTAGAGCAATCTGTGCTGAGAACTCCACAACACAATGGTGTTGCGGAAAGGATGAATTGCACCATTGTGGAAAAAATAAGGTGTTTGTTGTCTCATGCGAAATTGCCCAAAACATTTTGGGGGGAGGCAATGAGAACATCCTGTTATTTGATTAATTTGTCTCCTTCATCACCCTTAAATGTTGATATTCCAGAGAAGGGATGGAGTAAGAAAGGTATCTCATATGGAGACTTGAAGACATTTGGTTGCAGAGTGTTTGTGCATATACCCAAGGAGGAGATATCAAAGCTTGATGACAAGGCCAAGCAGTGTGTATTCTAGGATTATGGAGATGAAAGATTTGGCTACAGATTGTGGGATCCTATAAGCAAGAAAGTGGTTCAAAGTCGAGATGTGATTTTCTTTGAAGACCAAACAATTGAAGATTTTGAGAAGAATGAAAAATGTGATCAGCCTTATTTTGATAGTCTAATTGATTTCGATCCAATTTCTCCTATTGCAACTCATGATGTTGATAGGGGAGCTGAACCAGAAATTATAGATGATGATTATGATGGCCAAGAAAATGCACCGGGGGATTCTAATACCGAAGAGAGTCAAGAAGAACAACCCACTCATGAACAAAATATGGAGTTAAGAAGGTCCACCAGACAATGTGTACCATCCGTGAAATATTCGCCACACAAATGTGTCCTTACAGATAGTGGCGAACCCGAATGCTTCCAAGAAGTGCAGTCTGATGTTCACAAAGAAGCATGGTTGAAGGCTTTGCAAGAGGAGATGAATTCCTTGCATAAGAATCATACGTATGATTTGGTGGAAAGACTAAAGGGAAAGAAAGTTCTTCCAAACAAATGGGTTTTCAAGCTAAAGGAAACTTAAAACTCAAAACCAAAGTACAAAGCGAGATTGGTTGTGAAGGGGTATGCACAAAAGAAAGGCATTGATTTTGATGAGATATTCTCGTCGGTTGTGAAAATGACTTCAATTTGTGTTGTTTTGGGATTGGCAATAGGCATGAATTTGGAGATTGAGCACTTAGATGTCAAAACAGCCTTTCTACATGGTAATTTGCATGAAGATATTTATATGGAGCAGCCGGAAGGTTTTAAAATCAAAGGGAAGGAGCATATGGTATGCAAGCTAAAAAATAGTCTATATGGACTTAAACAAGCTCTCAGACAATGGTACAAGAAATTTGAGTCCTCCATGGTTGATAATGGGTTCAAGAAGACAGCTTCTGATCATTGTGTGTTCATTCGAAATCTTCCATTAAGGATTTCATTATGTTGCTTCTATATGTGGACAATATGTTAATTGTTGGTCCGGATGTTGATAAGATTGACAAGTTGAAGAAGTTAAGCAAATACTTTGATATGAAGGATTTGGGACCTGTGAAACAAATTATTGGCATGCAAATCTCTCGAGACAGGAAAGAAGGCAAATTGTGGTTGTCTCAAGAAAGATATATTGTGAAAGTACTTGAAAGGTTCAACATAGACAAAGCCAAGTATGTAAGTTGTTCATTTGCTGCTCACTTCAAGCTAAGCAACAATCAAAGCCCTTCAACAAAGGAAGAAATGGAAGAAATGAAGAAAATTCCCTATGCTTTAGCCATAGGAAGTTTAATGTACGCAATGGTTTGCACTAGGCCAAACCTTGCCTATGCAGTAGGAGCAATGTATTACAAGCGTGAGGTGTGGGCGAGGCGTTCGAGGGATAGCCTGTCCTAGGCGTGAGGCGTGAGGTGAAACCTCACGTGACCTAAATTTTTTAATATATACACGGAGCATACACATATATTATAAATATATATACACTCATAAATATACATATATTATATTATATTATATATATATATATATATATAATAGAAGATGAAAAGCACAATGAGCACACATATAACAATGCACGCAGACAGCGCACATCCATTATCTAAATAAATAAAAATTATAAAGAAAAAAAAAAAGACAGAGAGACGATGATGCAAGGAAGAGGTATGAGGCAGTTAAAAGCTACCCAAAATTTAGGTTTGGGAGTAAAAAAATAAAATAAAATAAAATAAAAAAGCACTGAGGCACGCCTAGGTGGCTCCGGCGACGCCTTCTGCCCACTCAATCAAAACACAGCCGGCAACCCTCACGCCCAGCCTCAGAGGACACCTAGGCACGCCCTGAGGCAAGCCTTTTAAAACATTGGGTAGGAGTGGTGAGCAGGTTTCTTGCAAATCCTGGGAATGAGCATTGGGCAGCAGTTAAATGGATTCTAAGGTGCCTTAGAGGTACCTCAAAGTTATCTTTGTGTTTTGGAAGTAATAAGCCTGTTGCCGAAGGCTTCACGGATGCATATTTGGCAGAAGATAGAGACACGAAAATATCAACTTCAGGCTATTTATTCACTTTTGCAAGGGGAGCATGTTGCGTTCCTTTCAAGTGCAAATATAAAGATAGTATAATGGCACAAGTAAGGGTGTCAAACCACAAGGACTGATTAGACCTCTACAACTTACTAACTTTATGTGAACCATAACTAAGCAATGAAAATGAAAACTGAATTTCGATTTTTATTTTGAATGCTAAAGTAACTTAAAATGCAAAACAAGATAAAGATGAATGATAGATGGATTCAGAAACGATGGGGACAGAACTAGGGATACCGATTTCACCATTACAAGCCAATTCCATGAAAATTAAGTCAAAATGCATTCAACTCTCCAATTTGCAACTAGGGTTCGTTTTACTCATTTATGATCATCCATTTAATGTGTGGTTGTGATCAAGTACTCCTAATCTACAGCCTAGTTGTGATGTTCAACTTAGATTACCAAATAAAATTCCATTAAGAACAAGAAAACTTCAAAGAACCAAAAAAATCACATGGCAGGATGTATGCATAGCAGTTTCTTCATTCATTCACATGTCTACCAAGATTAAGCATGATGTGTACTATAACCTTGACCAAATAATCTGTAAGTAGCTCTAATGGTGATCAAACATTAAGATTAACAAACAAATTATACTATAAAATCAGTGAATGAAACAAACACAGATTGGTAATTTGAATACTTTAACTTAATAACATATAGTAGGTTTGCAAGCCTACATCGAAATCCCCAGTTATGAACTTAATTACACAACATGATTTCATAATATATAAATATCAAGAACAACATGAGTGAAATTAAAGTTCATAGAAGAAACCCCCTTGAAGCAATTATGTTGTTGAACTTCTCCAAGAACAGTGCTGCTGCGTGGTTTCTTCGGTGGCAGCGGATGGTGAAGAGAAATAGGGTTTTATTTCTGGAAGAAAGGCCAAAGAAAGACAAGAGAGAGAGCTCTAGGCAACCCCAAGGGGGGCTTGTCTAAAAGTGGCTAAAACTCTTAGTTTTATAAGGTTAAAGAGGCTGTTACAGATTGCTAATACATCACCATATTGGGCATTTAATTCTCACGTTTTTTTGTTGTTATTGGTCTCTTAAAAGGGTCGTATTCATCACCATATTCAATTGTACACTTTGAATCTCTCTCTACATCAAAATCCTTATTCAATTCTCCACTTTCAGCACCATTTTGCCTTATTTACCCTCAAATGACTCTAAAATACAATTAACTGCACATTAACACAAAAGAGAGTAAAACGCAACCAGTTTAACTAAAAAATATCACAAAGAGACTAGGAATGGATGATATAAATGTTTGAAATATATAAGTTATCAAATACCCCCAGACCTGGTTTTTGCTAGTCCTCGAGCAAAACTAAAGCTAAAACAAACAAAACGAAGAAAAATCTAACTAGACCACTTTCGCTGGCTAAATGATTGCACTGAGCATGTGCCACAAGCCTTTAAACCTCTAGGTGTCCCTAGTAGGAGGAGTTGTGTCTCCTGAGGGTTTACAGCGATGACGCCCATAAACATGTACAGAATCGACAAATAAATTGGTTAAAGCATACTTGAAACAAACTAATAAGAACCAATGAAAGCTTAGTCATACATTTAAACCAAAAGTCTGCCACTTCAATGAATCGTATCATGTGTATAGTGTAAAAATATTACTCCATGACTCATTACTTCAAAAACACCATACTCAAATGCCAAAGATAGAATTCGCTTCAACTCTAATTCTCTCAAATTGTCACTCAAATTTTTACTTAGATCCTAAAGTTTTGTCTCTCATCAAACATATATGAGTGAAGTTATGTGAAAGGGAATCAAAATTCTCACATATGAAATATGAAATAAGAGCACAATTTTTTAATATATCTTATGAAAGGAATCAAACATTAAGAATATGGATAGCATACATACTTACCAGCACCCATGAATATATCCCTAAAGATCAGCTAGGTCTTTCACAAGGTTGTAAGGTAAGGCTTAGGCTAGGGGCTACAAAAGAATGGATAAGAAATACTAAAGCCTGGGACATACCAAAGTGTCTTTGTTATGAAATAAGCAAGCTCTTCACTTAAATTGATCTTTGTTATTTGTTCTTGCTGACCAGGACACACGTGCAATAGTGAAGGATTTGGAAATTACATCATCTTTATTCTTTTCTTTTTTTCTTGTTTTCTATTTTTTTTTTTTTTTTTTTTTTTTTTTTTTTTTTTTGCAATTCCAACACATGTTACCTTGGTACATGCCACATTCTTAATCTAGAGCTCAATCTATCTGTCTTCATCACTTTGGTATTCCCCAAACTATAAGGTATGGCTATAATGGGCTAAGATGGGTAGAGTTTGTCGTGGGTGATGAAAGAATCAGGTTAAAAGTGTTTGACTACAAAAAAATGAATGGAACACACAAAGGGTTGGGAATAAAGCCATTTGGTGGTTAAAAACATGCATAACCTAACATCATCTCAATGAGTTCATTCATAGGTGATAATAAACACATGGTATCTACAACATAGGATTATTCTTAGCATTCAATCAAAGAGAAATAATGAGATCATTTAAAGTGAAATTGAAAGAAAAAGATAGGAGCAAAAGCTTTTTAAACCCTCTCAAAGAAGCAAATAGGCTCAAAATAACCCACTAGGGTAGTCTCCACTATTCTTCTTCCATAATTTGAGCATGATACTTTTACCATCATTCAAGAGTAATAACTTTGTGAACTACAAAAATTATGATATGGAACTTTTCATGACAGCACCATAGTCAGATTGTATACACAGCCATCATACACATTCACATTAGTATGCAAAAGCAAACTTTAACCAAAACTAAAATCAAAAGAAAATTTTCAATTTCCAACACCCCCAAGCCTAAACTAAGCATTGTCCTTTATGCTTAAAAATGAATGGAATGCATGCAATGCGAATAGGTAGAGTGCACATGGAATGAAAATAAAACAAAAACAAAAAGACACAAATAAAAGGAAAGAACACAAACCCAGCTAGGTTACCTCCTAGCAAGCATTTTATTTAACGTCTAGGCAAGATGCAGTGGGTATGATGGATGAACACCTAGGGTGGCAGGAAATCAAGGTACCTCTGAACCTTGGTCGAAAGAAGTGGTTTCTTTCGAGGGACTTTGAATATGGTGTGTTAAATTTCCACAAGGACTTGATTGTGATGGTGTTTTTGTCTCTCCTTGCAAATAAACATATCCTCGAAAATTGTTGAAGGTGTGGCTGGAGCAATGATTTCAATGGATGAATGAAATTTGTTCAAGGCAACAACCTCATCGTCTAGCTCCGAATCTTCTTTCTTATGATGAATGGGCAATAATGATTCATCATCCAACTTCAATTTGTTTTTCTCTTGATATGGCAGCAAATCATCTCCAAAAGACTCCAAAGATGGCACATGTAAAGATGTAAAACAACAGGGAGAATCCAACATAACTTTTGAGAAAAAATCAAGAGAATTAGAAGATTGGGAAAGAGCTTCAAATTCAAGAACTTCTCTATGTATATCGGCACAGCTAGATTCCAATGATTGTTCACCATTCACATCTTGACCATCACCACATCGTTATTCATTTAAAGCTTGGACAATCTGCCCCAATTGAATTTCCAACTTGGTAAGTGCAATAAAGTGTTCTTGAATCATGCTACTCATTGATTGTTGAAATTGTGAAGTGCTTTGAGCAAGTAGATCCAAAGTGTCCTCCAACGAAGTGTCAAAGAGGGTCTGCTGTGGGGGAGGTGCAAATGTTTGATTTGGAGCTTGTATGTTGTTCCAAGAGTCATCATGAGAGTTTCTCCAAGCGGGGCTGTATGTATTTGGCAATGGTTGTAGTGGCCCTTTGTTAGAGAAACACATGCAGTGTGAGTGCTCTCAGACAAACATAGGAAACTCATCTCTCCTTGGGTAGAATTGAAGAGGATGGCCAATTTTAGCACATAACGGATATTCACCATACATCTTGGTTACAAATTGAAAATCAAAAGGAACTAAATTGTAAATGAAAAATCTAAACTAAGAAAACAAAAACAGATAGTGTTTATAAAGCAAGCAATTAGAGGGGACTGAAATCAGTCCCCTACAATGGCGCCAAAATTTTGTTGTGTTCCTTTCAAGTGAAAATATAAGGATAGTATAACGGCACAAGTAAGGGTGTCAAACCACAGGGACTAATTAGACCTCTACAAATTACTAGCTTTATGTGAACCCTAACTAAGCAATGAAAATGAAAACTGAATTTAGATTTTTGTTTTGAAAGCTAAAGTAACTTAAAATGCAAAACAAGATAAAGATGAATGATAGATTGATTCAGAAACAATAAGACAAAAGTAGGGATACCAATTTCACCATTACAAGCCAATTCCATGAAAATTAAGTCAAAACGCATTCAACTCTCCAATCTGCAACTAGGGTTTGTTTTACTCATTTATGATCATCCATTTGATGTGTGGTTGTGATCAAGTACTCCTAATCTGCAACCTAGTTGTGATGTTCAACTTAGATTACCAAATAAGAATCCGTTAAAAACAAGAAAACTTCAAAGAACCAAAGAAATCACATGTCAGGATGTATGCATAGCAGTTTCTTCATCCATTCACATGTCTACCAAGATTAAGCATGATGTGTACTATAAACTTGATCAAATCATTTGTAAGCAGCCCTAATGGTGATCAAACATTAAGATTAACAAACAAATTATACTATAAAATCAGTGAATGAAACAAGAACATAGATTGGTAGTTTGAATACTTTAACTTAATAACATACAGTAGGTTTGCAAGGCTACATCGAAATCCCCAGCTATGAACTTAATTACGCAACATGATTACAAAATATATAAATATCAAGAACAACATGAGTGAAATTAAAGTTCATAGAAGAAACCCCCTTGAAGCAATTCTGATGTTGAACTTCTCCAAGAACAGCGCGGCTGCATGGTTTCTTAGGTGGCAGTGGATGGTGAAGAGAAATAGGGTTTTGTTTCTGGAAGAAAGGCCAAAGAAAGAGAAGAGAGAGAGCTCTAGGTGACCCCAATGGGGGCTTGTCTAAAAGTGGCTGAAACTCTTAGTTTTATAAGGTTAAAGAGGCTATTACAGATTGCTAATGCATCCTAGTAATTGGGCATTTAATTCCCACGTTTTTTTGTTGTTATTGTTCTCTTAAAAGGGTCATATTCATCACCATATTCAATTGTACACTTTGAATCGCTCTCTACATCAAAATCCTTATTCAATTCTCCACTTTCAGCACCATTTTGCCTTATTTACCTCAAATGGTTCTAAAATACAATTAACTACACATTAACCCAAAAGAGAGTAAAACACAACCAGTTTAACTCAAAAATATCACAAAGAAACTA